CACATTTAAATAATTGGTTTAAACGGCATAATAATAAGGACGATCGTCCGTTCTGTGATTCTCCAGAGCACACATGCTATGATATTAGGGTCATGCAGAGTGAGATGAGATCGCTGTCCCTTTAAGAGAGAGAGAGAGAGAGAGGGGTGTGGCTTGTGCATGTGAGTTTGTGGATGGGAGAGCGACAGTGAGAGAACCTATGGAGAGAACGTGTGTATGTTTCTGGAAGTGAAACGAGGAAGCAGAAAAACAGAGGTCTGTGATGTATTTTGTGAAACAGAAGAACAGCTAAATAAATGCAACGGCCTCCCAAGAAGAGCTTTCCTCTCTCTAAAGTGGGTTATTGAACCTGAAGCTTGTTGCTTCTGCCCTTCTCGACTACGGTCTTGGAGCGACAGGGAAGTTACAACACACAGATGGCCAGTCCGCCCCTTTGTAGCATATTATTTCAGATGAGCAGATCGCCACTGGGCTTTCAACTAAATACACAGCCACGCAAAAACTGAGGCATTTGTACAGCTCCTTATGGGTACTGCAATTAGTGAAGTGCTTTCCTCCGTGGTGAAACGATCAGCACTGCACCACGGAGGAAAGCGGCACAAAGTCACCTGGAGATAAAGAGAGCGGGGCTGCGTTACGTGCATGGCTTCCTTCTGCAGGTAACGAGGAGACGCGCTCTGGCGGCGGTCTCGTTCAGGATCCGAAAATACAATTTAAATATTTTTGCACACTTATTCCACTTATTCCTAGTGTGCCACTGGTTACGGTGCCGCGTCCCAATGCTGGCACGCGTGCCAGGGGTTGCCGACCCCTGCACTAGAGTATCAATGTTCTTATCTGACTAGGTAAGAAAGCAGAACTCATAAAACTATTTATTCAAATTCCCATTTCGATAACTCCGTCCTCACCTCTGTAGCAGACCACGCCCACAGGTGGAGGGGAGAAGATGAGGATGCGCCTGCGGAGGAGAGCCAGTTTCCACAGCACCATGATCTGCTCCCCAAAGAAGCGGATGAACTGGGACATGCAGCCTGCAGGGTGGGTGATCTGCTCCACAGGTATTCAAACAGAGACACCAAGGTTACTGAGTCATACGGTGTATACATAAAAACAAGAGGAAATGTCCTTACCTTCATCTCAGGGTGCATGCTGTGGTTGATTGCAGCCCCCCAGGCGTTGGCTGGACATGCACTAACAACACCATCACCACTGGGGGGCAGTATTGCTCTCTTGTCCTCATAGAAAGCCTCCAGAGGAGAGTAGTGGCCTGGGGTCTGAAGCTGGAGCCTGGCAAAAAGTGACATTCAGGGACATTACAACTGGATTAATTTAAAGCTTCAAATCAAGTTCAATGTTTTGTCTGAAAAACAGTCCAATACTCCACATATATCCAATTTAAATGATAGAAAACAAGGCAATAGCAGCAAATTCTCACCTTTGAGAGACTTGAGAGCAAATGGTTGCCTGATAAATTACTTAATAAATTGCTAATCAATACTACTGCAGACTTCCGCTGCATAAAAATGTATTGAGCAACAAATGAGATCATGACCTTAAAGGGGGAATCTACCATCTAATCAAAGTATAAGTTCTTATATAAGATTTACAAACAGCTTGCTTTCATGTGTCACAAACTGTACCGAGAGTTACATACATATTATAGGCTAAAATGATCAAGTTAGCATCATTAGCATGTCTATGTAAAGCTAATCAGTTCCACTAGCTGCAAGGGCCAGGGGAAGAAAGATCAGAAATGCAAAAGAAGTGAAGAAAAAAAATGAAAGTATCCACAAATTCCTTGATGTGTTAAACACTTAACGACCAACAGTGAGCCGTTGATCTAATGTGGCATGGCAGTCAGCAGATGGGGAATCTGGAGCAAGCAATGCAGTGAATGATGAGTAAAGAGCATGACCGCTGCATGACTGGAGGCCAGGAGTGTGGGAACTGAGGCGGAGAGAAAGAGGGATATAAAGAGAACTGTGTTCAAAGAGAAAGTGTGACAGATCTTGGGATTAAAAATGAAGTTCATGTGGCGTTCAACCCCAACAAAGTTAGGAAGGGGGTTAAAGAAGTGTGATTTTGATATATGGGAAGAGAGAAAAAGTGTGAGAGTGATCTATTTGAGAAAAGAGGAACTATGCTAAGAAGAGTCTGAATAGCAGCCTCTTGTGGCCATATGGGAACTAACCTTAGGACTAATATTGACATACATTAAACCGCTTAGTAGTAGTAGTATCATGGGACATACAGTGCTCTGAGGGTGAAATGTTGAATCAATTAAAGGATATTTTTCAAAACATTTGTGTGTGGGAGAAATAGTTACTTTGGAGTGAGCTTGTGGATTTTTGCTTTTGCAGACCATTTACACGCACAAAAAACAATATAAAACAATACAACCCCCAAAAAGCATAATAACCCTTTAACTCAAATCAGAGATGTTTTACTTTTTTTCTTTAAAAATGGCCTTGATTTTCAAAATAGTTCTAGGCAATAGGCTATTAATGTGATGCTTGACAACTAATCAATTTATATTTGGAGCTGTTTTTGTTGAAGGAACATCTTAGTTATTTCAACAAACAAGGTCCTCTTACCTGACCTGATGCTCCAGAAAGCTCATGTAGCGGTAGAGCAGGGTGTAGGAAGGCGACAGGATCCCTACCGACTTCATCCTCGCGCCCCGCTCCACCACGCTCTCCACCGGCATGTTGGCAAAGCAGGCGAGCCCAAAGTAAGAGCCCTTCCGGAAGTATCTGTGGATGGACGGAGGGGAGAGAGAGATGAATCCATGAGTCATGAAAAGCAAAGGCAATGCCAGATGGCTGGGTATTTTTTTCTTTTTGCCAGGCAACACTTTGTGTGGTTCTGTCCTGCCAGGGAGGAGGCATGGGGCCGCATCCTAATATGAAAATGAGCTTTGTTTGTGTCCTGTTTTGTGCACATGCTTACATGAAGTCTGTGGTGACCCTGTGGGAGCCGCTGGCGATGGCTTTGAACTCCACTCCCTCCAGGTCCATGTCTTTGGGCAGACACCACTCCAGCATGTTTCCTATCCCGCCCCGGCAACAGAGAGATAACGTTAAAGCACACACACAGAGCACTGACACAAGGCCAGACTGTTAATAAATTATCCCCATTTCTTCTCTTGCTCACGAAACAGCAGCAACAGCTCGTCTGGATTCCTTAGAATTCATTATGTGAGGGCTGATGCTCGAGTGGCAGCTGAGCAAATATGGTGTGATACGGAGCAGGGAGACGGAGAAGGTGACTCAGCCAGTGAGGCTTTTCAATCTAATCATTAGCTACACATTAGCTCCGTCAGTGGAGTTCCAGCAGGAATATATATATATATATATATATATATATGTACAGTTGTCAGATCGAGTCTACAGGTCTGTATCACCCACCTGCGGCGGAACACCAAAGATGATCTATTACCACTCTGACAGCTGTTATTGACTTTATGTATTTAGCTTTAAGTATGATGCATGGTCTAACAAAGCTATTTCCTGTGCAGGAAGTGCATTATAAAAGGCCCCTAGAGACATAGGGGTTTTTTAATACTCGCTTTTTATCCCATTTGTGAAAAAAAGAACAAACTCAGAATGCTGTTGCTCTGTCATGTGGCTCTTGATTCAATTATTTTAGAAACGATCATCAAATTATTGTCTCTGTCACCAGCTTTATTAATAGGGGAAGTACTTGATCTTCTTGGTGCTCTAGTACAGAACAGACTCAGAAGTGTTTGAGGAAATCTGTAGACCTCATTTGTTTGCTTGAAAATAGGAAGCATCTCTGTGTCTGTAGGACAGTGTTGCATGTCTCTACCGCTTCTTCCTTTCTTCATTTCCTGTCACTTTTATGCTGCAATCTTTAATAAAAAAAGGTCTAATAAATACTCACTAAAAACCTTTGAAAATGGAGATATACTAAACTTTTTCTGCCAGAAAAATGAGTTTTTAATCTCTATGTAGAAATTTGGCAATTTCTAGTGACTTGCCAAACAGTGAGGTAGTTTTTAAATTGGATACAACATATTTGGCTGTGAGTGCATAAAACACTTGAAATATGTGCAATATGTTACACACCAATTCATCGTGGTTGTAATATTCTGCAAATATGAATACAAATAACAACATACTGCTTAAAAGGGTATGTTTTCTGCTCCAGGTGCACAACGACAGAGTTATATTAATTTAACAGACAGAGCAGTGATGTATTATATATAATATTACTTCATATCTAGATTCACCTTCTGTTCTGTTCACATCCTGATGAAAAAGGTATCCTGTTTTATCCTATCATGTGTTACCCTGTGAATCCTTGATCTGGTGCTAAGGTCAAATGTGTCATCATTAGTGGAGTGTAACAGTGGTATTATACTACTACTGTACAGACCAAAATGTAATCCAGATGCTCCACCTGGAAGGTTTTGCACTGTGTGGCATGTGGTCGTTGTGAAGTATTCATTTCACTGAGCAAATCTAAAAAAGCATTAAAACCTGTTATAGCCTCACCCTTTTCTGCAGATCAACCTGACATGCTGCAAAATCATAAAGCACCCAGCTCCACCCTGTAGGGAATCTCTTCTGTGAGTTTTTTTGTAATCCTTTAGAAACATTAGGCTACATCTTATGATTCTTAAATTGATCAGTCCTCGAGGCGATATAACCTTGTTGGGTACTATTTCACAGGGGCTCGCCCTGTCTTCAACATGCCCCTCATTACAAATGTATAGGCCTGCTCTCCATAAAGGACCAGCTGACTGATTTCCATCCCATTTCTCATCCTGACATGTCTGTTCTGTATTTAGGCTACAGAGGGCTTTTATTCATGTCTCTTAACTTATGGCCAGGTCAGAAAAAGCCACACCTGTAGGAGAACGTTCTGCAGACTTGGTCTCTGCATTTTGGGCGTCAGACTGTGGATTGCTTGACGACTCGAGGCATCTGCTTTCCCTTCACCTGTCTACAAAGATCATTTCCATTTATTGTGTCTTATATAGTGTTTAAAATTCCATGTTGCATATTTAATGTCCCACCTGATCTGGTATTGAACGCAACCACAAAGACCGACACGATCTGGTCCTTTTCCTCCCATTTCACCATCCTGTCATCCAACGACTCCTCTGTCGATCCTGAATCCGAAAGATGCTCCTCGTTGTTGGCATGCAGGGCTTCATCTTTGCCCGCCGAGGTGCTGGAGGTCGCGGGTGGGGCGCTGCAGCCGTCGGGGACAGACCTGCTGGAAGTGGAACCCCCTGGTCCGCTGCTCCACCCCTGCGCCGAGCATCCTGGTGAGGTACGGTTGTTGGAGGGGCTCGCCAGTCGGTCCTTGACCTGTGCTGCCACCGGTACTGTTCCTCCGGGCTTCTCCGCGGACGGAATCTCCTCCCAGTCCAGCAGAGGGGCTCGGTCCGACCGCTCCACCATCCCGGTCCCGCCTCGTCTGTCTCACCGCCGCTCGTAAATGATGTCTCAGCCGACAGGCACCAGGTCCATCCGTTGATAATTAAAGCTCAGAGCAATTCCCGCATTATAAAGTTATTCTAAACTGTTCAGAAGGGTTGCATTTTGCATCAAATTAATATTGCATGAAGCAGCTTTTACATCTATCTCCAAAATCTTTCTTGTCTGAGGTGATCATAATGTGATGCTGTTGAGAGAGGGCAACTCCTTCGTCGAATGTGTGTTGCGTTCAAGATAACTCGCCATTTACAGTGGCTCATCCTCTTATATGAGAATAGACGTTACTGTATTTTGTTTAGTTTTGTGGTCATCCCATAATCCGTTTTTATATATGTACATGTTCTATTTTTATATTTGAATCATTACTCTTAGTTGTATTACTGAATCTTTAACTATTTTAGAATATATATAAAAAAAATACATTTAATGTTAAACAACTGGGAACACTACACCGTTTTGGCTTCATGAATGTACCCTGCACCAAAGCTTTGTGTACATCTTCTTTTCATTAACAGCACTTTCGACACAAATATTTATGTTTTTATAAATCAAAAATACGTTCATAAAATCTAGAAGACTCAAAATGTATTAAAAATATTCCTGACGTTTTTTTCTAACTTGTTGCATAGTTTGTTATAAGTCAAATGTACAGTTAAATATTCCATTTTGAATGTGTCGAATGTTGAGAAACAAAATCGAAGCCAGAGTTGGTGACAGTTCATCGACACGTCAACCACACGGAAGTCTAGCTGAACGAAGGACCGTAGTCTTATCGAAATGGGTCAGTATTTTAACTAATCGTCGATATAATATGCATGTGTCTTTTGATTACTTATAACCTACATACATATGAGTAATTAGATACCGATGTAGCTCTGTATAGTATATTCCTGCTTCATTTAACGAGGATTGCAACTACTGCCTGCTAGCAAGCTAACGTTAAATGTTAGCTATTTACTGGGAATACCGTGAGTTTTCCATTCATGGTGTGTTTGTGTCTGGACATATTGTAAACGTTTTGTCTTTATGCTATTCGGGCTAGCCGTTTTAAGATATCTTCTAATAGGCATAAGGAATAAAGCACGACAACCTGGTGTCTTCATTTAAATCAATCATGCCACAACGTCAATAGCTGAAGCTAAGCTAACCTGAGCTAACTTGCTTAACCACCTCAGTAACACTGACAACACGTTATGTGATTCATGCACATCCGGAAAAAGAGCTCTTCAGGATGTTGAAAAACGTTTGATTCACTCCCATGTCTTTCACCTTCCTCACTGCTTTTTAAATTGTTCTAGCAGGCACAGTAAAGACTAATTTGATGGTCGGTTTACCATTGAATCACTTTATATGCTGTATCATCTGGTTGTTTAATGCTAGTCAAAACTATGAAAAAATAATTCCCAGCATTGTTTTGAACAGACCAAAGTAATGTGTAACTCAACACTTTCAAACTATTTGCTGCTATAGTTGATTATGAATCCAAAGCTACCTCTCTCAGCATTAACACTGTTTCCTTGTTTGTCAAATCTTCAGGTGGTTTCTTCTCTAGCCTCTTCTCGGGCCTGTTTGGCACCAGGGAGATGAGGATTCTGATCCTGGGTCTGGACGGCGCCGGAAAAACCACCATACTGTACCGCCTGCAGGTTGGAGAGGTGGTCACTACAATCCCCAGTATGTACTGGTTTACTTTTCTTTTTTTTATTCCCACACCATTATTTCCACATCCTTAGATACATACATATCTGTGTATTAGATTGTCTTATAAGAACAACCTATACAAGCACAATTAGATTATGAATAATGTTACTGCATGGCGTGGCTTGGTAAACACAGCCAACCAGTCTGGTGGATATTTTTATTGGATACACTGAAGGGTTTGATTTAAGGTGAGCAAATGAAAGAAACCAGTTTCACCCATTGGATTACTACAGTTAATGATTATACTGATGTTGGCGAGCTCCTGATTCCATTGGAAATTAAAATGGTTGTTTAAAGGTTATCAGATAAAAAAAGTGTCCATACTAAGTACCCCTCAGTTTGTGTTTTATACATTGAAATGAAAGTATATCACGCACATGTGCGGCTTTAAAGCAAGATATTAGCCGGATCAAAATCATAGAGACTATTAAATATATTCTAGTCGTCCACAGACAGGATTGTAATTAAATATTCATTACATGTTGCATTTAATCCTGACTTTCTGTGCAGTGGTTTGCAAAATAGTTGTAATGTAAATGATCAGATGCTAAACATTTGCATGATTTCCACCAAGGGGGGTTGAGTCTGATAAGCATTTAAACCAAGACAGCAACACCCAGAGGAAATGCACACTGCACATCCAGATGAGACTTTGGTGATAATCAGACTCATATTTGTACCCATTTTGATTTCTTCCCGCACAGCCATCGGCTTCAACGTTGAGACCGTCACATACAGAAACCTGAAGTTCCAGGTGTGGGATCTGGGAGGACAGACGAGTATCAGGTGAGTGGCAGATCGGGGATGCACTGGGAAGTCAAAGGAGTGATGTGTGATTGCCTTGTGTCATCATTTTGTTTCTTGCCCTGTCAGCACACTGCTTTTCTCTTTTGCTCCTCGTCCTCCTCTCTGTCTCCCATCTTTTTAACCGTTGTGCTCCTCTCTCTGTTCGACAGGCCCTACTGGCGGTGCTACTACTCAAACACAGACGCAGTCATCTACGTGGTGGACAGCAGCGACCGTGACAGGATGGGCATCTCCAAGTCTGAGCTGGTGGCCATGTTGGAGGTTAGTGGGCGTATTCTCAACTCCACCCTATCACATTAAACCAAGATATATAGGAACATATTTCAATACAAGCTCCAGTCAACTAGTGCTGGATATATTTTCCTGACACCTAATGCCTACAAAGAATCAATTTGCCTAATTTTAAATATCCTTACCTTTCCCCTACTGCCATCATGAGGTGACATTTCCCACTTGTCCTACAATGGGACTCGAATATATTTTGTAATAAGTAATTGTTGACCATATATATGTAAATCATTTTAATCCCATTAGAAACTGGAATTGAACCACTACTGTTTTTAGTACAGTGGTAATTTATAGCAATTTGTCAAGTTCACAAATCCAAGGTCCAAGGTCAAACCAAACATATTTTCTAGTTGCAAATGTAATTAGTTAAGTTCTGAACTAACCTTAACTCAGGAAAACAATGCTGTGTCTTGATTTGCGTTGGTTCAATCCAGATGTGAGATGGCATTACATATTTCACATATTTAAGATTGTCAGAAATGTTCTCAAAGTATTTGAGAACGTATTTGTATCTGTGTTTTTGCTTCCATTACACTGATATATAACTGCTTTATCTCTGACTCTCTTCTCTTTGTTTCATGATGTCATTTTGCGACCTTGTGTTTTGCACAGGAGGAAGAGCTGAAGAAAGCCATCCTAGTTGTATTTGCAAACAAACAAGACATGGACCAGGCGATGACGCCCACTGAGGTGGCCAACTCTCTGGGCCTGCCCGCCCTCAAAGACAGGAAATGGCAGATCTTCAAGACCTCGGCCACGAAGGGCACAGGCCTGGATGAGGCAATGGAATGGTAGGAATGAACATACAAACCATGAAGAGATCAAAATACTAGTGCAATATACTTAAAAATATGTAGAGTAAAGTAGAGGAAATGACAATGAGGAGGAAGAAGATGTTTATTACACTTCATAACCCATTCATTATTGGTTCATAACTCTACGTGTTCTGTTCCTTGTTTGTTGAGGCTGAATTGTATTTACTCTCTGCAGGCTGGTGGACTCCCTGAAGAGCCGACAGTAAAGGCTTCCTCCCACTCTGTATATACTCCTGACCTTTGACCCTTCTGTATGACGCCTTTGTGACTGACCCCTCCCCTCTTCCCCATGGACCCGAGATTGCACTCCTTTCCCACCTCAAGCCTTGGCCAAGCCCTCCCAATGCCTAAAGCCTTTCAAGCCTGGGACTCTGAAGTGAAGGCTGCAGTAACGTCTGGATTGGACACACCCACACACTACACACACACACACACACACACACACACACACACACACACACACACACACACACACACACACACACACTCACTCACTATGCCCCCATCTCTTTAATGCTGGTGTCTTGTGTGATTTTAAAGCAACCTCAGTGATAGACAAGTTGGTATCTTTATTTTTGTGTGTTTTACAAATACATACAAATGTGAAACACCTGTGAACAGACGTGTTAAATGAAGCTAATGTTACGATTCTACTTTTAATAAGGTTATCATTGATTAGGAAGAATCTATATGTAAGTCTTTGTGAATATTCCATTTACTACAACCCTCTAGCTTTCTCAAATAAGGTGTCTTTGCTGCATCAGTTGGCTTCATCTTCTAACAGAGGGGTCACGCTGTGAAGCCTGCAGATGTCCAGATGTCCACCAGGAGGCAGTGTTTTCCCAAAAAGACAAATATCAGGAGTCAGTGAGAGCTAAGTCTTGCTTCTGATCTGAGGAAACGTCACTATGATCGGCTGCATTGCAAACTCATTAGACAATTGTATTACCGTATGCTGGACTAGCCAAGCAGCACTGAATGCCAATATTTAGTGCAGCACATTTTCAATCCAACATATCTCGATGTAAACAGTCTGCTGGCTTGAATGAAATGTTTGTGGTTTCTTTCTTAGAAATTTGGACTCTGGTTTAAAAAAAAAAAGTACTCCATTTCCACTATGTGTCCTCTGGCCGAGTGTTACTGCAGCCTGGGCTGTTTTTGTACAACACCGTCAGGCAGATACAATGTCATGGATTTCTATTGTAGTTTTTTTCCTCCTGTTCATTTGTGTTGTTCCCACTATTTTTTAAATAAGTAGTTAAAGCCTTTTTTCCATTGAAATCCTTGAGTGCAGCTTTGGCATATTAGTCATCGAGTTACTGAACACTAACTGTATGCTCAAAGTTTTATGGTTGCATATTTATATCTGCTTGTACAGTGAAAATGATTCTCAGTAAAGATTGCTATCAGTGATTGTACCATTTTGTGTAAAGGGTCGATTGATTTAAAGACAAGTGATACCAAAAGACAGATGATCCGTTTAAATGTCTTTTTACTAAGAAAAACAAGTTGTACATGAAATTGCACGGGATATAAATCTGAGGACATGTCTACACTTTTTTTTACAGCAGGATATTAAAGTTTATATTAAGCTAATACAGAGAAATCCTGCTGTCACATGAGGTCTTGTTTCTGTTACACACACAGGAGGCTGTTGGATCCCTCATAGAAGAGTTGGGTTAGAAATCTCCTTGTTTTCACACTTAGCAAACCAGCAGGGAGAGCCATCTCTTTCCTGTGCTGTTGCTTCGTCACTTGACATGAATTCAAATAGAGAAAGTCATTGTTACATCATTAAGGGACACTTCTGCAGCCCAGTTATCCCACCAATACATGGAAATGTCCTCTATCACAAAAGTCTCTTTCTTGGTCAGCTTGCTAAACTGACACGGCTCACTGCACCATGGCCAGGTTCTTGAGCGTGTTGCCCCGCTGCCTCTTGGCTTTGTATCCGGGCCGGAGGAACTCAATCTTCCTCTTCTTGGCTTCGATTTTGTTCCTGTGCTTCTTGAGCTTCTTCTTGGCTGCGATGTCTGGGTTAGCCACCGCCTGGAAAACAAAAAGGGCAAACGTTAGACGATGGCTGGAAACAAAGTGGTTGCTTTTGTGTAAGTATGGATAACGTCTTCATACCTGCATGGCTCTGTGTTTTTTGCGCGCGGCTCTCCTCTGTGAAAACTCCTTCTGGACGCCAGAGAAGGCCAGAGAGAACTTCTCCAGCCCCACGTATCTCTTCAGCAGCTCGATCAGCTCCTGAGCCAGGTTCTTCAGGGTGGGGTCTGGACACAGAGACAAGCATGGAGTTTATTTCACTGCCATTTTCCCACTTGTCAAACGGTTATTTCCCCTTTTCTTAAAGACAGGTGTTCACTCTTACCTTGGTCTGCGTAGGTGCTGTCCAGCTCCCTGTACAGAGGAGTGATGATGGTGCTCAGATAGGGGCCGAGTCGCTCCTTCCCCAGGTCCATGGCTATCGCTCCCAGGAACTTAAACACACACGTTCTCTGTGGGAAGTAGTGGAGGAAAATACATTTAACTATCTTAGGAATTAAACATTTAAAAAGATATTTTTCACTTTTAAGAAGAAAACATTTTGGAAGTAGACTAGATTAGAGAACGTGACTGAAGTTAACCAGTGAATTGGACATTAAACTCTTTTCTATGTTTCTTTGTGTACCTTCAGAGGAACTTTGGGAGTGTGTGCCGCCTCTCTCTTTGCCATCAGCGACAGCTTCTTCATCAGCCACAGCAGGGAAGGCGGCCGGTCGTCCTTATCGTCTTCATCGTCTTCTTCCTCATCTTCCTTTTCCTTCTCCTTGTCATTTTCATCTTTCTCTACTTCCTTCTCCTCCACCTCTTCTTCCTTCTCCTCCACCTCACCCTCTTCTTCCTTCTCCTCTTCCTCTTTCACTTCTTCCTGAGCGGGCGTGGCGTCAGACTCGGGGGAAACGAGGTAGATCACCTTGCCGACGAACAGCAGGTTCTTGACCACCTGTGGGCGGGTCAGAACATTGCTGTCAATCAAACCTTGTGTGATTTGAATGTATCCTTAACAGAAAAGTATTTTGGGTGGAGATGGTTACCTGCTCTCCTGAGGCTGTGTCCAGGAACTTGGACTGTAGCTGATGGCAGAAAGACAACGCCAGCTCTCTCATCTGAATGGCATAAAACCAGAGAAAAGGGAGTTTAAACAATGAGGGGGAAATGCAGATGTTGGATCAAAGCTAGAAAAAAAACAGTTTCCCACCTTCTTGTCCAGACCGCTGGTGATGAAAGCAGTAGTTGGGGACTGAGGTGAAGCGTCTCCACCCTCTCCTCTCCAGCCAGCCACCAGCTGCTCCGCCGGATGGGCTGCAAACAGCTGACCAAAGAGCTGCGAGGAGGTCAGCCACACCCAGCAGTGAGGGTACCGCAGGTGGGCTTCAATGTGACCTGTAAGATGAGGAAAGTTTGAGTGTTAAAAATCACAAGTCTCTACCCTCATCACCACCTCCACCAAAGCCTTTAAAGCTCCGCCCTTCAGGCCTGTCACTCACTTCCTTCCCACCAGAGACTGAAGAACAAAGGAACTGTGAGTTGGCACATGGAGCTGTAAATTGTTTGTACTCAATCCGTCGATGAAATGTTTAGTTTAACTTTAACAGATTGTTTTGTTTATGTTAGACCCGCCTTCTAGATTCCCTTCGATTCATACCTTGAAAGAAAAGAGAGCAGTTTAATCCTGTGGATGCATGAAATGATGTAAGTGAAATACTGAACCTTATTTACGATAATTATTATTATTTTGGTTATTATTGTAAGTCTGCTAATAGTTTGTAAATATTATTTTATTTAGATAGAATCATCCCCAGATAACGAAACCGTTGTCAACCATCAGATTGAAAAATAAAATGTTAACCGGCCTGCTGGATCCAGTCTTTTCAGTGTGTGTAACAGAGAGTGTGTTGTTTCTTTACCCCAGATAAGAGTGAGTGTGTCGTGAGGCTGTCTGATCTCCAGCAGGCTGCAGTGTTTGCTCAGTTTGGTGATGAGGGTGAGGAAACTGTAGAGCAGCCGGTCCGCCCCCTTCTCGTCCTGCTCCTCCTCGATCTGAAACACACACAGGGGTTTAAGGACCTTTTTGTCATGTTTCAAACTTTCCGCCAAAGACAGTGTGAAGGTGTCCACTCACGTCATCGTAGTTGACGGGGTTTATCTCCTTCTCCAGCAGAGGAAGCAGGTCGTCCAGGCGGCGGGTGAACTGCTCCTCCTCCACCTCCACGAACAGGCCGCAGATCTGAGCTCCCAGACGCCGCATGCTGGCCTGAGAGAGCGGGGGGGGTGTTAGTGATAGGCGAGAGCATTAGGAAGCTATCTTTCCTTTTGTGCCGAAAAATATTCAAATCTTTGATTGTAGAAAAGCAGCACACACATCTGCATGCCTTAAAGACATATAGCAGCATGATATGGTAGGAGAATGATATTCATTAAATTAGCTAATTTACTATAAGAGTGGTATTCGAGGGAATGTTCTCAAACTTAGGATTATATCTTTCTATTGACATCACCATATTTCTCAATAATGAAACACACTACAAAGATACTGAAGACATTAAAAGTGGATTTGTACCTTTTCTGCATGCAGCCAGGTGTTGACAAGGGAGTACATGGTGTTCTTGTGGTTAATGTCCAGCTGGGCCAGCAATGCCTTGATGGCCATGGCGGCCATTTTCTTACAGCGTGCCGAGTCATCATTGACCACAACCAGGGCCAGCGGGGCGAAGAACAAGCCGCAATGCGTCAGCAGCAGCTCCTGAGCGGGAATGATTAAATAAGCAAGGTCAGAAATCACCATTGGTAAAATAAGAGGGAACAACAATTCCATTTTTTATTCAGACTTGAGTAAATGTACTAACCTTAGGGAAGGTCTGGAAGATGTAGGCCAGCATCTCCAGCACTGACTCCCTGCCGGTGTCGTGCTCGTAGTGCAGCTGCGCCACCACAAAGTCCAGGTGCCCCCTCAGCTTCTTCCCCAGGGGGTAGTCCAGCAGGTATTTGAGATAGATCTGCAAAACATAAACACTGGCTGAATACACATATTTTAAAACATTTGTGCTAACCGGTTTTCATCATATAGTAAAAATGGGGCTTGTCTTGTTTTCTTGTTATGTGTAGGTACCTGTCGACAGTGGATTCTGATCCCGCCGTTGTTGCCGGTGACAGAAAGCTTGGCCACTTTGGTCATCAGCTCCTCCATCTCTGGGACAACGAGCTTTCTGGACAGAATTGCCTGGAGGAGAGCGATACAAAGACAGAAACACATTTCAACACATAACCCAGGGGCACATTCTCAAATGTTACATGGGTGATCTTTATGCGAAGCCCCACAAACACTCATGTCAACATGTGAGCGGTTACCTTCAGCAGGCCGAAGGCGGTGGCCTGGCGGGACTGGTCGTAGATGTCCTCCTCAGCGTATCCCAGCAGCACTTGCAGCTGTGTCTCTGAGATCTGGTTGCTTTTGACATTCTTCACCAGTATGGTAATAGCCTGAAAGACAACAAATCGTAGATCAAAGAAGCAGTTTTCATTTAAAACCTGATTGAATTGCTCTCCCTTTCAAAAGTGTGAGCATACATATGTGTTGTGTGAGTCATGGTACCTTGAAGCAGTTCTGCACCAGCTGGTAGTTCTCCCCGCGGGCCGCTCCGGCCTTGGAGTAATCCTTCAGCAGGACGAACAGCAGCTTGGTCATCTGGTCTGCGTTCTGCTCCACTGCTGGGAGAGGGAACTTCAGCAGCCAGGTGAAGGCCACCAGAGCCTCCGTGATCACCTGCAGGGGGGGAGACAGGAGAGGAGGGGTGAGGTTATCCGAGTCTGATTGGCTGGTGCTCAACATTTGGTGTGATAAAAAGGTTCCTATGTTAAAAGAAAATGTCAGTACCTTGACGTGCCTGGAGTCGAGGCAGTCGAGCAGCAGCAGGACGAAAGGATCCAGCATCTGCAGAGCCGTGGGATCGGAGGACGTCACTTTGGATTTCTTTAGACTCAGGTGGAGCAGCTGAGAAACAGACAGAAACCCACAATGCCTTATTAACAATCCAGATTCTTTTTCAGACATACACATCTGAGACAACATGAGGCATTCCTTCTTTCTAATGGTAAAGAAAACATGCAATATCTATTCCAGTAGAAAAGTGGTTAATATACGGAAGCCCTGAGAGGCAAATGGAAAATACATTTCTAATCTGGTAATCAATTTTCTATGTTTGATCTTAATTGGCTCTCCTGTGTTTACTCCAGCTAATTAAAACAATTTTTTACCATGATAATCTCTGGAAGTTGCTTACATGTTCAATTTGATTAAAAGTGGCCTAAGTGTTTGTTGTTGTAATGTTCACTTTGGCCACAAGAGGCCACCAAATAATCAGCATTTTTAATCTGTTCTTTAGATAAAACACAGGAAAGAAAACGATTTAGACCAGACATAGAAAATGGATCACCAAAATATATTCCGTAGCCAGTAAATAATGTTAGAGAAGAATGTAGTTTCTATAGAAGTGAACTGCGCTAGCAATGCTAATAACATGCGGGAGAGTTTGAATGTGCACCTTGAGGCCGGTGTCCACCAGGATGTGCATGTTGGTGCGGCTGCTGACTGGAGCCTTCCGCCCCCCCCTCGTTGGAGTTGGAAGCAGGAGCAGGCAGCTGGGAGGGGGCAGCCTGGGGTCTGGGGGGGGCTTCACTGAGGATTTCTCTCTACAAACACACACATTGTAATACATGGTAATTAGTACAAGAGGAACATGGGTGTTTTCTGGATGTTGATCAAAGCGTGTGTGTGTGTGTGTGTGTGTGTGTGTGTGTGTGTGTGTGTGTGTGTGTGTGTGCGTACCGGTCTCTCTTGGTGAGCAGCGGCAGACTCTGGCTGACCAGGCCGTGGCACAGCAGCAAGATATCCTGAGACGTCATGCCATCGTTGACGAGCAGACCCAGGACCATCCTCCGCAGCACGGCCCCCACCCGGATACACACCTTCAGACTGGCTGAGTTATCCAGCATCTGAAAGTCAATGCATCATGTCAAGTCACCTGTTTTAAGACTAGTAGAGTTAAGACTCATATTGATTCTTGTATTTACTCAAGTGTCTTCTTATATCCCCTCCCCCTCACCTCCTTTAGAGGCAATATGAACTTGGTGACGCTCTCTTTGCTGCAGTAGCGAGCCAGCAGCTCGTAGGAGTCCATGCTCTTGCTGTGTCGCGCCTCCATCAGCTTGGAGACGATCCCCTTCACGTCCTTCTCCTCGGCCACAGGCCCGAACAGCTCGTTGTTGAAGATCTGTCCAACAGGAAACGGGGAGATTGGATACAAACTAAAACTTTGAATATATTGTGTATAAAATAGTGGGCTCTATGTGGGTTTGTGGTGCGTTCATACGTCGATGAGCATGTTCATGCAGGCGTCCAGGTCTCCGCTCTTCAGGGTTGGACTGAGGACTGTCAGCAGCTGGTAAACTGTGAATGTTAGCACGTGGACCTGGACAGAGGGGAGCACAGAGAAACAGACGGGTACATTAGGACTTTTAAAGAGGACGCTGACATGCTTCTACGGTTGTGTTTCTATGTGTTCTCGTACCTGGTAGCCTTTAGCCAGGAGCCCCTGCATCTCTTTGAGCAGGTACTGCAGGTAGCGGAAGCCTAAAGTCTCTATGATCTTCACCAGAGTTCCCCTCGCCACGTCACGGACCTCCTGGAAGCGGTTCCTCAGCACCACACACACCTTGATCAGGATGCTGGATGAGAAAAATACGAAATATCAGTAAAATGTTGGAATTTTAAATGAACATCACACCAGACTCTTAAGTGAACCTGATCTGTACATACAAACAAGTAAACAAGGACAGTGAAGTGTTTGTATAGTGTTATTATAGTATAGTTTTCAAAACACATCCACCACAGCTGCATACCCAGGCAGGTTGACCTCCATGATGGCTGGTGGCAGCGTCTGCATCAGTTTGACCATGGCGAAGGCGATCGGTATTCTGGCCACTTCCTCATCCTTTACATCCTTTGACTTCACTGCCTTGTGCTCATCGTCACGCTTGATCTAGACAAAACATACACACAGAGTACAATAATGTCAGAGTCATGTCAGTTGTATTTATTGTCTGGTGTCAATGAATTAGCAACAACATTGATTTTAATAATTTGTTGTGCAAGAAATCAGGATTTGGCATGTATTTGTACCGTAGGGCAAGTGACTATGGAACATTGTAAAAACTTTGATTTTAAAGCCAGTGCTAAACTTATTTTGTTATAACAAATATATATTGTTATATTTTCATAGCAGAACATATTTTCCTTAGTTTCAATGGGACATTTTTGCCTTTTTAAGGGGTTGTCTGTATTTTGGCTACACATTTGATTAAAAACATAGGAGCCGAGGTTGAGTGACATCTCACATTACATTACATTACATGTTAGACGCTTTTATTCAAAGCGACTTACATACTGAATACTGTAGACAATCACCACCGGAGCAATTTGGGGTGAAGTGTCTTGCCCAGGGACGCAACGACATGCTGACTGCAGTGGGGTTTGAACCTGTGACCCCCTGATCCGAACACCAACTCACAACCCACTGCACCACATGCCTCTCACATACTTGCCACATTAATGCAACCAAAAGGATCTCAAAATTCAAACATGTTAAATGGTATTAGTGTGTTTGTGTATTGTACCTTTGCATTGAGACACTTGTGCAGGCGGGGCAGCACGCTGTTAGTCACGGTCTGGTGGATGGCGCTGATCAGAGTCCCCAGCTCCTCGGTGCTCTGCGGCAGCCCGCTGGACACCGCCATGGGGGGGGGAGCCGCCGGCACCTTGGCTACAGTGGTAGCTGCCTGCTTGGGGACGTCGCCATTTTCTCCACTGTTGGTGTCCGTTTCCATGGGGACATCAGATGGATCGGTTTTACCCTCTACCTCCATTGCCTCCTCATCATCGCTTGCTTCCGATTCGTCGGCTGCAGCTTGCTCCTCGCCATCGGCCTCCATTGCGGCACTCACAGCTTGATAAAGACAAGGATGTTTGATTGATTTGAAATTCAACACATTTTGATTAATCAGACCTAGATTGTCTGAAATACAGAATTGTAAATGGTATCACTCACCCTCTCTGGCCTTGGCAGCCTCCATTTCTCTGCTGAGGGTCTGATGGTCAAAGTGGAAAGCATCCAGGACTGTGAGGAGCAAACTAGAGGTATAGTGGAAAAAGGGGATCTCTTAGTACAGACTTTTACGAAATGCCTCAGTAGGTCATGTTCAGAATCAGAAATAGCAAAGAAATACTCAAATAAACCGTAAAAAAAAAGTCAAATTAGACACCTGACAGCCAGCTTCTGCTCCACCTGCGATGTTTGCAGGATGTGGATGAAGTGTTTCAGGTAGTAGAGGTACTTAGACCACGTCAGCCTGCGGCATACTGCGCCCACCACCTCCACCGACGCTGTTATCATGCCCTCATGCTGAAGTGTGCGAGGAGAGGAGGGTCAGACACACACACATCACACAACACTTGTTTTCTTTCTCAGAATGTTTCGGGCCTCAGTCACCTTTTGCATTTTCTCATCCAGCAGGGCGGTCATGGCGTACGGCATGATGTAATGCTGGAGAGAGCGGGGCGTCAGCACCACCTGGCCCTCCGTCAGCTGCTTGGCGAACTTCCTCAGGGCACGACCCCGACGGTGGATCTGAAGAGAAAGAAACTCATTATCATCTGGTATGCAGGAATTATGAATATGAAGTTCAGGAAAAAAAGTGTTCTGCCTCAAAGATAAGTAGGTCATCAGTTGTTACAAATGAGTTTTATAAAGATTTTGGCTGACTGTAGTTAGGTTGGCACATGTTTACTACTGAATGTATAGTAATAAATCCCTAATAGGTGTGAGAGCTCCGGTCTGCCATCAGGAGTTATATATGGTGAAAACAAAGCAATAATAGATTGAGGAAAGAGGGGACATGGGAGTGAGGTTTCTCTCCTACCTGGATGTGCTTCATGTGCTCGAAGAAGTCAGACTCCAGGTCGTGGTAGTTGGTGAGCTGCACCAGGTCTCTGAACTCTTTCTTGGTGGGAAAGGTCTTCACCAGGCAGGCCAGCACGGTGGTGTATTCATGCTGCACGCTCTGGTAGAGTGAAGGAGAGGACATTTTAAAACACACTGAATGAGTTTAATATTCAGAGCTCTAGTGGAGGAAGGGTGTGTGTTCCTAGGAAGGCTGTGTGTTCCTACGTCTGTCTTGCTGCGGAGCCCCTTGTGCACGGCGTCCAGGATGGTGTGCTGCACGATGTCCTTGTAGAGCTGCTCTCCAGCGCCGATCTCCGCCAGCTGCGTGATGACTGCAGACAGACACAGGTTGGCGTTGTCTCCCAGCGACATGTCACCGATCTGCAGGGAGAAAGGAGGTGGGAAATGAATCGTGTATATAACAGGTATTTAAAGTACTTTAAAGCTGCATCTGTGTCACATATCTACTTACTTCAAAGGTGTGGAAGACGTTGTGCATGATGGTGCCGATGTAGTCCAGGTCCAGAGTGGTCATTTCTTTGACTCGCCTGGAGGCTTCTTGGAAAGCGCAGAGACGAACGTCGAAGTGGATCTCGTCCAAGTGCCGACTGTCGAACGCATTCAGCTGCAGGAACATTCAGAAAGGGTTTTGGATGCGGATTCATTTGAAACCTACGTCGGCTCTCGTCAGCAGTTATGCAGCTAAGTGCAATTTCCCATACTTTTTGTATTAATGTGGCAAAGTATACATCTCTCTTTAGAGTACTACAGTAGGCGGGAAAATGGCGAAGAAAAAAATGAATGAAGACAGTGAACTGACAAGGTCCAGAGGCCTTCTTTTAAACTTCATACAAATGATTTAAATGTAATAAAGAGAAATATATTTTGGAGTCAATATTCCAGTCTGTAAGTGCTGTTGGTTTTCATACATCATGCATAATATTTAACGTGAACGACCTTACCTTTGTTGCTAAATCAGTGATGTACTTGAGTGAGGGCTCCAAATCCGAAAGAGTCTGAAAGCAAAGCATCATGGGTAATGAACAGTGAGCAGGAATACATTAAAAAAACATTTAATTAGGATATTTAAACAATATGGGTCTGCAACCTGTAACAATGTATCTCATTTAAGGGATATCCAATCAATTTAAGTGATATTTAAATCTCTTGAATAAAAGAGAATTAATTTCCAGGACTGATTTCCTCGTCACCACACTAAGTGTTAGATGTATTTACTGTCATGTGACCAGATCCCTGTGGGCCTGCTGTACCTGGAAGACGTTAGTGAGGGCCATTCTGGGCAGCTTGTTCTGGATGACGGAGAAGAGCTTGCTGAGCGGCCGCAGGAAGTCTGAGGGCTGCACACACTGCCGCAGGAGGTTCTGCAGCGTGGCCAGGGTGTCGATCTCTGTCTCCTGAAAGAAACACACAGTAAGGTTCCTCACTGGCAGCATGGAGGTAAAGCAGAAAGCATTAGATGTCATTAAGGGGTTCAAAGTCTTACCTCAGGATTGTGGCCTTTGTGGAGGTAGGGCAGCAACAGGGTGATGAGCACCGAGCTCTGCTCCTTGTCGCTGACAAACCGACTGACCCTGACAGAGGAAAAGTCACGCACCAAAAGGAGTTTGACGAGACATAAAAGGCCATTTTAGTTTTTTTGCTCAGTGTGTTTTTTGGTTTTTAAAATCACAGATAGAATAGGAAAGACACAAAATATACGTGATCACATAAAATCTATTATATGAACACTACCATGTGCATTTAGATAAAGTAACACAAAGAAAGTGTTTAAGCACAAAAGAAAAAGGATAATAATAATAATAATAATTCATAAATATATGTGAAACACCCCCAAAGGGTTTTATGATTGTATGTCATAACAAAAAAAGGCAATTTCTAAGAGCTAATTCCACACACAGTGAAACGGAAAAACGATACTGTATGTTCTTATCCAGAGAAAACACTGACTTGGAGAGGATGTTGAGCTCTTTGGCGACCTGAACCCTGAACTTCTTCTTCTTCAGTCGGTCGGAGTTGCGTACGACTCCGCTGAGGTAGTTCAGCAGGGTGGATATGTGAGGCAGCAGCAGGCTGGAGCCCTGGGTTAGAGCGTCTGGAAGAGATACAACACATTAAACTCAGCAGCAACACTGACATTGGATTGGATATATTACCCTAACTCTGCTTACCAGCTGCGATGAGAGCGCCCTCTTTAGGCTGCGGGAACACACAGTTGTTGACGTTGAGCTCCGTCTCATCCTCCGAGGCCACAAAGTCTTGAGTGGTTGCTAAGGACTCGGCTATGTCCATAACCATGGCGATGGTCACTGTGGAAACTTTTTTGGCCGAGAGGAGGGCGAAGACGTTGAGGAGGATGTCACACTCCGGATGGTTCAGCCTCTGCTTAGCCAGAAGTGGGTAGTACCTGAGACAGATGGACCAAAGAAGAATCAATGTACCTCCATAAACTCACTCTGGATACAAAAAGTACTGCTACCTGGATAAGAAGGAGAGAGCTGGATGTTTACCTGGCATTTTTGCACCACACATGGATGAGTCTCAGCAGAGGGGTGGGGGAGTAGGGGCTCTCTGTAGAGAGACGACACACCTGTACAAAAAGAAGTGTTAACCAGACACGGAAAAAAACTAAAAGGAATTACAACCCAGTCCTCTAAGGGAAAGTATGTTCTATTTAATTAATCTATTTACTATTAATTATGCTTATTATTATTATTATTGTTGTTTCTTTAAATATCATATCTTTGGCCCATCAGTGCCTTTATTTGAGGGAAGTTGTTTTCCTGAGAAATGTCAGGGACTAATCCCCAGTACATCGGCTGCCAGCTCTACAAATTCAACGATATATATTTGTTGGACGTATATAATTATAAGTACCATGTCGCTATCTCTCCATGTGTAAACGTGTTAGTATTTACCTTTAAACATGTCTGAATAAATGTATAGCCCGGGCTAGGGATCATTGTATGCTCTTCAAGTTTCATTGAACTGTGACATAACATTTGTTTGCATGATGTACCTGAGGCCAGACCACAGCGGCAAAGACGGCATCCAGCTCGTCTGCGCTGAAGCTGTAGGAGTCGAAGCCGTCCAGAAAGTCCTGGATCCTCAGGACGCCGAGGCGCCTCAGGTTCTTCAGAGGACTGATGCACCCCGCACGCAGCTGAGACAAGAGGGGAAGGTCATCACTATGTAACCAACAGGTGTTTTAAGGCTTGATCTGATCACAAAATCAGTTCAACAAACAAATAGTCTCGTCAATGCCTCTCCTGATTACCTGCAGCCTTTTGTCCAGGATGGTGGACACAGAGGCGGTGACACACAGCAGGATCTGCAGCACTTTGGGCAGGTAGATGTTGATCAGGTGACCCAGTTTCTGGATCACTACGTTGATGATGTTCAGAAGGCTGTGCTGTCGGCCCAGAGGCAGGACGGCAGCCACATCTGTGTCAGCGATGGCTTTCTCCACCGCAGCCAGGCAGGTACCTGAGGAAGGAAAGGATTTTAATAAAAGGAAAGGTGTTTTCAGACTGGGGTAGGAAAACTAAACTTTATTAATGGATTTTCATTGTATTTTCTGCCTTAGCTACCTTGGCTGTAATGGCAGACGGGCTCCAGCAGCAGGTCGATGAAGATCCCCAGCTCCTCCGCTTGGCAGCCAGCCAGGAAGCGCAGGATGATGGAGGAGCGGGAGGCGGAGCTCGCCTTCCCCTGGAACTTACTGCCTGCTTTACTGCGCATGCGGCCAAACAGGATCCTGAAACAGCAAACACAGGGATGGTGACTGAGAGATAACACATTTTAAAAACAAGATAAGGCATTATCTAAGCTAACTTTCGCTAAATGTAAGAAAATCTGCAGAAGGAAATAGACACGGTAATCGAGACACCTTTCCAATAGTGTGAAAGGAGATGTTTTATCGAAGCAAATACATTTAAATTGAGCAGTCAACGAAAAGAAATTACTTTGTGTTTTTGCCTGTAGTGTCACGCCTTAAGGCAGCTCGGAAAACAACTGAACACAAACATGTACCTCATGAGCAGTGGGATGAGCCTGGCTCTGTGTGAGGCATCCACCACTCCTGTCTCAGAAATGTTGAAATGGACAATCTCCTCTTTGAAGTGTTTGTCGTCAAGTAGCCTTTCCAGATTTTCCCTGTACAAACACACACAAAAGTCAAAACACAATATACTTGTAAGAATTGAACTGCTTGTACACATACACGTATCATGGCAGACACTCAGAGCGAATACAAAGGGATACTGTATATGTGCATTTAATGAACAAATAATACATACATTAAAATAAATCTAAATCACAGGGTCTGTTCACGGCTGCCTGTCAGCGTGACATCCAGATCCTGAACAAAGAGTCAACCACAATGATATGTAATGCTAAACTTCCTCAGAAACACACATCTGTCTGCAGGTAGGCTTCAGCTACAGTAAATGGATAGCTTGATAACAGACAATAGGAGTCATGATTTTGAGCAGTCAGCGCTGAGGGGGATTTTAACATTCCTCCGCCTGTAACCATAGAGGGTGGAGGACGTGAGCTCTGATTACTATCAAATATGCTCACAACGACCGCATTGATGGAAAGAAAGGGAGATTGTTGCATTAAGAGACATATTACTGTAAGTGTGCTTCCCTGTCCATCTCTTCAGGTGGTTTTCTTACTTGTATGGTACTATGTTGGCGTCCTTGTATGTGAGAACACATTCCAGAGCCACTCGCTGGATCTGCTGGTCCTGGTGGCAGAGCAACTGGAAACAGAGAGATATATTTAGATGCTTTGATGCCTTCGAAAATAGTCAATATTAAGCAGCTCTAATGTTGGTAGACGACAAGTGTGTGTGAGGTTTTAGGATTACCTGGTTATAGAGATCACTGAGGCTGCTCTCCAGGTAGAGAGAGCGAGGGTTGGTGAATTTGGCGAACACCTTCAGGTGGACGATCAGCTGTCTGGAAGAAAAAGATCCACACAAGGGTCAGTAATACCAGTTAAGGTGTACAAACAAACCCTACATAACACACTACACGAAATGGAGAACCCCAAGAAGCATATTAGGGCCCCTTTAATTAGTCCTCGAGGGGGGACGTTTTTACTGTTTGTCCAAATCCTGGTCAATTTTGATATACATTTTTTCTTTAACTATTTATTTAGGCGAAGGTCTAGAAAAAATGCTGGCTTCTTTTATTAGCTAAAAAAGGGATTAGGGATTTGGAGAGAAACAGGTTTGTGTATAAAGAAAACAACTAAATTGTTCAGATATCAGTTCTTACATTTGTTTTAATAATGTTCTGTTTGCATTTTTTGTATCTTATTTATTCAGATATTATAGAAACCTAAGTGAAAAAAGAAAACCTGACTACTTGCTGTTAATGCCAAACATCCCATGGCAGCTTGAAACATCGTTCAGTGTGACTGATGTCTTACTTTGCAGCGGCTCTCTTTGGAGGAGCCTTCTTCTGTTGCCTGCCTCCTTCCTCTGCCTCCTGCTCATCTTCGTCCTCCTCTTCCTCCACAGCCATCCCAGACTCCTCCTGGGCAGCGTCATCCACCTTCCTCAGGTCCTGAGTGGGTGCCACCAGCAGGTCGGAGGTGTAAAACTCATTCCTGGAGACACAGGGTAAAAATCAAGAATACTTAGGATACTTGCAGATCAGGAAGATGATCAATTAGGCAATTAGTATATCCAACACCGCGGACCTGATGAAGCGGAGCAGCAGGGGGCACAGTTCCCGGCAGCGCGGCTCCACTCTCTCAGGAAACTCCGTCATGCAGCGCCACAGCAGGATGCGGAAGTTGAGGAAGTCCGTCCTCTCGTCGGGGTTGGCGGTCAACTTCAGCTGCTCTAGGAACAGCACCCCCACGTCCCCGCTCTCAATGACGTCACATCCTGGCTCGGCCTGAACATCCGTCTCCTCTTCCTCCTCATCGTCCTCATCATCCTCATGCAGTTCTTTTTCTATGACAAAGAAAAGGAAGATCAATTGTGTGGCTGTTTTTGGCTCGTTTTCCCCTTGCAGTTAAGTACACCAAAGCTGAGTTTTACGATCTGAAGCATCAGGAGCCCTCACCAGCGATCCCTGCCACCATCTCCAGGTTTTCATAGTAGACCTTCCAGAAGTCCCTGTTGTCCATCCCTCTGGCATGGGTCCTGTGAAGAGGAATGAGATTCATTTATGATAAATATATCGAACATGGCATTTTTATTCAGGCAATTCAAACAAAGTTCTGCATTCTGTAAAGCCTGCTTAAGTCTATAGGCGCGTTCACACCAAGTACTTTTCCCACAAAGGTTCCTGAGAACTCTTTAGTTCTCATGAACTAAGTACAGATCGCGTTCACAGGGTGGATTAGGCAAATGAAACCGCTAACGTCACTTCTTCTTCTTCTGCTTTGGGTTTACTGGCAGGCCGCAAACAACTTCACGGCGTATACTGCCGCCCAAAATCCCCGGCCGGAAGTCCCCGGAGTT